CCCCAAAACCCCAAAACCCCAAAACCCCAAAACCCCAGCCATCTAATCTAATTAAAAATTGTGAATTTAACAATTGTTAGATCTAGTAAATAGAATCATTAAATTTGCAGTTTAAAAGAAGCAAAAGGATCTCAGAATCTAGAGGGAATGTTAACAATCATATTGCCTTGGTTATACTCGTTAATGGTTTGAGATCTCAAATAATCGATGAACTAGTTGTTTGTCATCTTAAGAGTATTCTTGAGGGTGGCATAAGATGATGATTGCTGAGTCACCAATTAGAAGAAAGAAAGCATATTTGCTTCATTTTAAGTCATGTCAGCGTTAGCTCTAGCTTAAGCATCATTCAAAGTCTTCTCCTTAGATATGACTGCAGAGTTTTGCATTGCTTCAAGATCAACTTTACGTTACTTTCTCATGTTTTCTGTCTTAGAGATTTCTGAATCTTTAATAAGAGTTTCTTGAATGGCATCTTGATATTTATCTGGAATATCGATGTTTTAAAGTTAGAAGAATTGAATACTGGCGTAGCAATTCTGATCTAAGGTCTTATTTAAATCATTCATCATCTATTAAGTAATTAACTGTGAGCTATTGAAAAACTCGTTTGCATCATACTTAGTAGCAGCGTCATTAAGAGTCTCTATCGAGTACTTGATGCAGGGTCCTTTGTAGTCTTCACCATATTTCATGTAGAGATCGTAGAGTTTGTCTGGCATCAATTTATACTGGAATGAAGCTCTGAATTGAATAAGGAGTCCATCCTCTGTTCTAGATTAAATAGGGGGTCTATCAGCATTCTCTTCATTAGAGAATTCCATGTTCTGGACAGTGCTTGGATAACGGATGAATGAGTGTCCTGCTCCAAGGAAATGATATCCAGAGCCGTAGTATTTTGGATCAATCGACTTAGCGAGTGAGTTGTAATCTAAGCCGTACTCAGCGGCGTCAAGTGATGAGAATGACATAATTACAACAATACCAATTGTAAGAACACCAGCTAAACAACAGCAGCAGGCGATGCCTGGTTTGGGGCCGTCAAAGTTCATATCTTATTTTTTAATAAAAGTATTATTATTTAATCATTCCAAATGATTTGACATTATATCACGGGGTTTTGGGGTTTTGGGGTTTTGGGG